GTGTACATTTGATTAATGTGCTTAGAAATGTGAGTATACTGTCGAGACATCAGTTGCTCCTCCTCAATGACAATTTCAAAGTTACTATCAATGTTCAGACAATAATTCCTACTGTTAGTATGTCTACTTGCAGCCAGTAAAATCTATTTATGATGTTGGATGGAAACTGAAATAGTTTTTAACCACATGTGGTTGCATGGATTTGCAGAAAGTGTTGCTATGGAAAGAGATACAGCCAATTAATATTTTGCTAGTGCCAAAAATGTAACAGAAAATGTAGGTGCTTTCTCAAATCCTCATAAAATTTTGAATTAGAACTCTTTTACCCTTTGTTTTCTCTTTTTTATTTTTCTGTATCTTATAATTCTCTTGTGTCTTGGTCTAAAACAATTTTTTGGGGATTAAAAACAATTCCATAATTCATTTTCATAATTTCAAAAAATCTATTAGGGACACATTAAGCAAGAATGGCCAGGCAAATTCCTCATGACTATTCAAACAAAAATTAATGCTAAAGAAACACAGATACTTTACTTAATGCTTTGTGAGGTGAAAATAATTCACATATAGTTTAAAAAAGAGAAATTAACTTCCACATTTTTATTTCAATATATTTTGTATGACAAATGCACAGCAAATAGTGACTTTACTCCACAATGTTATGTAGCTGTATTTGCTAATTAGTGGGAATGTCATGCATTATTCATTCTTAACAGTGTTAGCCTAGCAACAGATATACTGCAGCAGCCAAGATAATGGACACTTTCAGAACTTTTACAATTGAACAATTTGTGGTTTATTTTGCTTTTCAATGCGGTTTGTGGCCGTCTCTACTGAGACTGAAAACTATAATGAACTGGCTCGTTTAATGTTTCAATTTTGCTTGAGGTTTCTGAATCTGAGTCTTCAATACAAACAGAAAATCAGGCATGGTTTAGGTAACTTCTCAATTACCTAAAAGAAATATCTTAAAAGTACTTGACATTTAAGAAAAATTATCCAGTGCTTCATTGTTTTTAAAACACTGTACTATAAGTTAGATGAGATGTGTGCAACATATTTGTAGCAGTATTTTTATAATTCATAAGAGATTGTGATTCTGAGAAAAGTTTAAAAAAAGTGTACCATTAATTAATTACACATAAACATATACTGTACACATACAGTACAGTACCTACATACACATACTGTACCTGTAGAAGCTGGAGATACATTTTATTGAAGTAAAAATGAAATAATGCCCAGTACCATTTTTAACTCAGGATACTTTATGAATTATTTGGAAATCACTAATTCATGTAATGCCATCATGATAAATAGTTACATATCTTGTACTTGTGATCAAACTGAAAATATATTATAATCTATTATGTTGTTGTACTTAGAGCAGAATTAGTATGATTAATTATATATACACTGTATATTAAAACAGAGAAGTATGTCATAATTAGTTTCTGAGAATACACTAGAGATGAATGGTTTTCACCCTTTTTTATATAACCCTGAATGTAATTATATACTAAAACATTTCAGGCATACTAATAGTAGTCCGGAACTGCAATGTCACCGATAACTCAAGTCACCAGTCTCTTGTCATAGAGAAGAACAAGTTTTGAGGTTTATCAGTGACAAGATGTTATAAGAACTTAAAACCAATGAGTTACTGTAGTTTCTTTTCAAGGATCTATTGTGTCTGAGACATTTATTCTTTGTGTAGCAATCACAATTCTTTTCTAGCTTTCACTGCAATGACAGTGAAGAAATCTGTAATCTTATTCACAAGGAATAACATTACACAGTAAGAAAATGCATAAGAAGTTAAAGTACAGTAAGTATGCTTAGACTTGTCTGTCATGGCACTGTTCAAGTGGATCAGTTAATGCGTTTACCTGTAGAACTGCACTTTACCAGAAAAATGCACTTGAATTAATGAATTGTTGCACCCTATGGTGACATCAGTTTAGCGTGTTACATTTTAAAAGAAAAGACATCTCTATCCAGAACACAAAATAGAACCACAATGAAATTATCTCTAAGAGATACCCACTTTAAATTTACCACTTTTTTATGGACAAATTGGTTTTAGTCTGATTACACATAACACAAACCATCAGGTTGAGAATACCCTTATTTTTCAGAGTATAATTAGGCCAACTTAACTTATGAGATACACTCTACAACATTCCTAAATGAGTGCTTAACTGCAACTTCTGCCTTTCACTGCTAGATTTACATTTTTTGCTTATAAGACCATCCACTTAGTGCTCAAATTCAATTTGGAGACAGTTAAAAGAGGGTTGTTGTGTTGCACTGTACATATTACCTATTTTGTTCTAATTCTGACATCCAATTTGCAGCCTTTTACAAGCTGGAAGACATTGTATGATATACTGAATCTTGTCTTGCATTAGAAGTGTTGTAGTACTGTAATCAATTAAAACATGTTAAACATCAAATTAAAAATTAAAACATGTACTGTATGTACTATATATATAGATACAGTGTGGTAGTGTTGACTTGACATATCAAAAACATTACATTGGGCTTCAAATGGACATCAGACTGACAATAAAGAGAGAAAGGGAAAGCATGTGGAACCACTAGCTACACTGGACTGATGCACAGCTCCAAGGCCCTACTCCAGTTGCTTTGCTGTTTTGCACACTTGCAGCCAGAAGAACTTTTTTCAGAACGTCCTCTGGACGTTCCTCTGGACGTTCCTCTGGATGAGAAATTCTAACCCAAAGCCCACATGTAGTAAAAGGGAAAACCATGATGTAATTTTACAAATGAGAGACTAAACAACTGTCCATTGTTATTATTAAGAAACCCCCAGTATTGTTCATAAGGGTGGGCATGTCAAAGGCTAAATTCCAGCTCAGTCTTGCTCTGTCCAGCCTACGAAGATTTCCTCCTTTGGTTTAATTGTTGAAATAATCTCTCAGTCCTCCATTGCTTTGCAGTGAGATGCTGATGATCAAATGTCTGTTACACAATGCCAAGCCTGGTGCTACAATTCATTGGTGCCTATACTGATTCTCTAATACGTACAGAGTTTTGTATTCTTTGTTCATGAAAATACTGTAAATAAAGTACAATAAATTAAAATATTGATCTTTTTTTTATCTATGTATTTTTTCACTATACAGTTTTATTTCCATTGAAAAACACTCAATTTTAGAATGGACAATATATTATATACTATTATGTTACAATTATAGGTAATGTATTCAATACAGACTTTACACTGAAAAGCATCATGAACATTGTCGGGTCTAGCCTGTTTTTACAATATTCACAATTTAGATCTGTATTAAATGATAAGCAAAGTGGTTTTGTTTTCTGTAGACTGTACTGTATATGTAATCTATATTTAAAAAGATACTTCTCTGTGAATTTGTTAGCACTTAGAGCTTTCGCACAGTGCTGTTGCTTGGAACAGCAAACACCCTTGTGCTTCAAAAGCTAAAACTCTAGATCGATACACCTGAAAAGAGCTTGAAAAAGATTTTTGTCATGTATCAGAATGCATTAAGCCCTAATGAATAAGGGAAAATGTGATACATTGCAAAACAGGAGTGACTTTAAAGGGGTATCTGTACAGCAGAAACGTGCTGGAAGGAAGTAGGAACCAATTAGTAATTTACAGTGATTATATCTGATAAAATATCTGAAGAAATGTCTGATGTAATATTTTCGAGAGGTTCACAGAATTGGAAAAGAGATTAAGAAAATAGTTTATGGTGGCATTTACAGTATCTATGAAGAGTAAACTTTATATTGCATGCATCTTTAGATAGGGTTCTACTTGGAATAATGGAATAATATGTATTATATCTATTATCCACAGAAAATACTGATACCAAAAGAAAAACAAAAATATCATATTAGAATGATCAGATTAAAGAACGTAATACAATATGTTCAGTCATTCCTGATGTCAAAAACATTCAAATAAGTGACAGATTTTTTTTTAAAGAACAGTTTCTTCAATTGACATTTTTACTACTGCCAAATCTATTAGATTGGTATGCATTTCATCATATGATTCTTTCGTATGACATGAATGCTGACAATTTTAAAAACTACTGAAGCAAAAAAGCAAGCAAAGTCAGGATTTCTTCTGGGAGCCAGCTAATCTAGAAGTTGATAGCTCTCTGGTCCCATTGCTTCCCCACTTTTTACACTAGCACTGCAATGAGGAAGACACATTGGCTTTTAAATATCACTTTCACACATTTAATTCCCCTACAGATACTGGTATAACTCTTCAGGTGTAAATGGAAGGGAATATGGGGGAAGGGAGCCAAACTACTTTTGGTCATTTACCTCATGATAAAGTGCCTTTCCTCGTCATACTGTATGTGACCATTTAAATGATAGCCACAAACTATCTTTACTGTATATCTCTACACGAGAATATTTCTGTAGGGTGCATTTTTGAAAATCGCACCTGCCAGCTTCTTTTCAGGTTATCAAATTCCAGTCTTTTTCTGTCCCCTGGGATAGTTGCGTGTCCTTCCTGCTGCTAGATTGAGCACTTCCTTCTAAATGAATTTGAAATAACACGATAACAAGACAGTGGAAGGGAATAGCAAGGGATTTCCAATGGCTTATCCTCCTTTAACAGGATTCAGAACTTCTACTGCTTCAGCACATTTTCCTTTCAGTTACTTACTCATTACATATTTACTAACTTTTTATTTTAATTAAATTCATATAAAGGTATCACTCAGAATTAAATAGGAAATAATATCTTTTTGGATTACAGTATGTTAAATGAAATACAAGTGTGTATATCTGGTGCAACAGAAAGGAGCTTTGTGAAGTAAAAAATCCAATTTTTTTAATTTAATTGTGGTTGATGAAGGTTAAATTAAATATTGGTCGCTCTGATAAGGATTCCTGTTATGGTGCTTTTTTCACTGCTTGTCAATAGAACTATTTTTCTTAGTCTCTTGTCTCTTTAAAAAAGCAGCGGTGTTGCCATGGTTGCAGACAGGAAGTTGTGCACAGAAGGAAGCTTTGGTATATTCTCTCGCTCTCGGGATGAATAATGTAATTGTGCTGTTTAAAGAAAAATATATTTAGACAAAACCCTTCCGTAATTTTTGTATATTCGTAAAATCCCAGTCAAACGGAATATTATGTAAGTATATTAATTTAATATTAAAGGTTTGAAAACACCGTGCATTTTGTGCATCAGTGTGTCATTTCTATGCAAGCTATACGTTTTATAGTCTTGGTTTTATACCTTGATACCAATCTGCTAATTGTGCTAGCTATGCAGTAAAGACATCGTGCTCTGCAGAGACCGAAAGGAAAAGCTAGAGTATAGTAAATATAATGTTTTAATGTGTCCCCTCGTGCTTAAATATTTAATATAAATATAAACAAGAGTGAACAATAATCAGTATATAAGGAACACCTTACCACTCCTCTCTTGTACAAGTAAGTGTAGAACTGCAGTAGTCGTAGTGACGTTAACGCTACTTCCAAGACTACTCCTAGTTGATGAGCATAAAGACGTCGCCAGTTTTACAAGAAGATATAAAGGCAAAATATTGGGAAGGGATTGGGGAGTTTGAGGCACGCACCTGTATATAATGACCCATTAAAACTTTTACAGTCTGTGAGTTGTGCTATTAATGTGGACTTTATGGTTTCTCCAGGTTTTAAAGGTGGTTAAGCTACAGTATGCTCCTTTCCCATCTTACCGTCCTGTGCCAAGAGCTTTTATTTAGAGCATGTGAGAGATCACGATGGATGTGCTTGCCAGAAAGAGCTGTATTTCTTGTGACCTGTGACTTTATGGGTCATTGGAGCTGTAGAGCTGGAACCACAGATATGGATTAAGGTTATGCCCATTCTTTTCCCATGGGCTCCAACCTGGTTTGGAATGTAAGCCTCTTGCCACCAGGATTAGACCAAGTTCTCCATTGTTCGGAGGTGTGGCAGATACTGTAATACGCCTTTTGGCTTATTTTCAACTGAAGTGCAATCAGTTTCTTTATCGGAGCTCATTTCAATACTGGGAATATAAAATCCACATAGTTCCATATAAATATTAGTATTTGTTGTTTAACAGACAGTCCATCATGGTTAGATAAAGGGTAAAGCAGGTATTTCAGACTTTCTGGAGGGACTGCAACCATTTTTTTCCATCCAAGCTCTTATACTTATATAGCTCATATACTTATCTGAGGTGTTTATGTAGGTACACACGATGAAGTGAATGTCCTCAACTATAAAAATCATATGGTGACTCAATTCCTCATTTCTCCAGCCTGTGTTGTGGAGCTACTGGTGCATAATGGCAGCCAAACCTTTTAGCAAGGTGGGCCCTCTCCTGTGTAAATCACAATTGGATGAATAGCAATATAAAAAAGGGAAAAAAAAACAATAATTTCTGTTATTAGCAGAAATTCTAGTGTAATGTTTGTGATTAATTTAACAGTTAAAAATATTCTGCTACTCATGAGAACGACACAAATAGATGTTTTCTTCCCAGAACCACAAAGCAGAAGAGAAAACAGCATTATCCAATAGCCTAGTCCTTTGAATTGGCCTCTCATTTCAAAGATTCATTTTGTACTGTATGTATTAGGCTCTGCGCAGCATAAGTTTTGGCAATAAACGTGTTTTTTTTTGTAAGCTACAGTATATTAGGAAAATGCACCTCAAATGTATGAGATATCTTTAATGTGTATTATAAATTGTAAATGGTGTTTAACATTGCTGTATTCCTTTCACATGTTCCTTCCCTAGGCCAGCAGAAGCAATTTTATAGTGATGATCTAAAATGTTATTAATGTTATTTAATTAATCATTAATCCCGGGAGACCTGCATTTTGTAATATGAAAAGTATCCTTTTACCTTCATTGAAGTACAAAGGAATAAATTATGTTAATGATGAGAAACACTTGACAGTGAATGCATTTGTTTTGATTAGTAAATTTTGTTTGAAGATTCTGATCAATATGAATTAAAGATTGTTTAATGGCAAGCTTGGTTTCTTTACACCCAAATTAAGCTGTATTAATAACAAAGTTGTTCTAAGAGTAGAAAACACTAGTAGAGGCTTTGGATAAATTGCTGATGCTCATACAAAAGAGAGATAGATAAGAACTTTAAAATGGTTTGATTTCATGACAGAAGGCTGTTTCGCTCATCTAGCTCAATTCGTTTCTAGTTATGAAGTGATCTGAGAATCTCATTTAATCGTTTCTTGAAAGAAGCCAGGGCATCAGCTTTGACAACATAGTTGAATACTGTCGTCTGTTCCAGACTCCAGCAGCCCTTTTGTCATCACATGTCTGCTGTTATTACTTTTTAAATACAATTGTACGGTAAAATAAAGTGTATCCTGTGATCTGTATTGTTTATAATATAACATAATTGAGTGGTGGTGTGGAGTGGTTAAGGAAGAACTTCTGACTGGGTTGTAGGTTGAAATCCCTTACTGTAGTTTCCATTTGTCTTCTGATTTGTGTACAGTACTGTACATTGTTGGTTCTGAAGATGTCCAATGGGTGTCAAATTCTTCAGAAGAGAATTTTGAATACATTACTCAGGTTAATGTATTCTGTATTCAAGATACAAAGATGTATTTGTTTTAGTGTATCAGATAATTTATTTTTAACCCAGAAATGTATTTGGCTGCTTGTTATTGCACTGATTCAAGGGGCACATGATCTTTTCTTGTTATAATGGTGTCCAGAATTGTGCACACTATTCTAAATATAATGCCCAAACCTTATAAATGCATTACACATTTTCTTCTTCATTCATTTTATCCCTTGATTTAAGTTCTACAATTCTAACTATATTCTAACAATCTGTTATGGTTTTTATTGCTTCCTCACATTTTCAAGTAGGAAAATGGTGTCAACATACAGTAAACACATGTCCCACTATAGGAACGTTTAGATAACATTGACTAAGACACTGATATGTTGGTAACAAAATGTCAGTGTCCACTCAAACCAAAAGCATTATAGTAGAATAATAGTAAAATTGCTTTATTTGGGGGGAATTCAAAGCAAAGTCTCAACCAAGGAGCAAAGTTATAAACCAAATTTAAAATACAGATGTTCAATGAATTGGATAATCCATGCTGTAGAATTTATTATCCAGTTTACTTATTAAGGATTATAATTTACAGTAGGTATAGAATCTGGTGGTCTCTGCTTGTTCAGGACCTAGAGTGAATATCCTTGCCTTTACTTAAAGCGCATGTATTCAACAAGTCTAATTCAGGAGACTTCCTAACTGAAGAAAGTTTCTAAGCTAATAATGAAAATTTGGTTTAATGAACAGTGCAGACAAACATCAAAGCATGGAAACATATAATGCATATACAGTAAATGCTGTGTTATTGTACAGTAGTGGTGTTTGGGAATGCTGCTCCCCACTGTATTATTTAATTTTGTATTTGTTGAAAGTAAAAGCAGAAGAAAACCAAGGCAAGCTTTACATATATAGTTTTGTACACCCGATTTCAAAACGTTTAAACTACCAAATTATTTTCTGTTTGATGAATGTCTGTTTTAACTGTAAAATAGATGCAAATCTAAAATACATAAACCAGTGTGCTCAATCCTGTTGCTTTCTACTATCTGAAAGTTTCTCACAATACCTCATGAAAATATGAAAAGTACTGTATTTAATATTTCTTTATGGACAATGCTGATAACAGAAGTATATTGAAGTTGTCCTCATCAAAACCCCTGATCTTTTTCATAGTAGCTTCTTCATGCTTCATGTTTTCAACATAATATTTATAGTTTGTGCCTGCCAAATACATATATAGTCATAATCTGCACTTTTAAACATTAAATGTCATTTGTCAAGTTCACTACAGCAAGTGTTTGTTTTCATTTTTATATCTCCTTTACCATTTCTAAAAAAATTGCTAATCCTCCCATTTTGGTGTCATCTGGAATATGGGATTTGGGCTTATTAACTATACCAGAATCTAGATAATTGATGTAAATTAGGAAGAGCAGTGGTCCCAATACAGTTACAGTATTTGTGTTATTGCACTAATTACATTAGTCTAGTTTGAGCATTCACTCTTAACTATACTCCCTGTTGCTTATCCATTGAACTGTTCTTAATTTCAAGGCATGCATTACCTTGAAAGCCTACTGTCTGGCTGCAAGTTAAAAATTAGTTTTATGAAGAAATGTATCAAAGCTAACGGAAAATCTATATACTTCCTATTACGTCTGTATCCTCACCTGCAACTGCGTTTTCAATGAACACCATTAGCTTATGTACAGTAAATCAATTTTGACTATTACCTTGAATTATAATGCCATATACAGTACATGATCCTCTTAAATTATAATTATCATTCTATAACTTTACATTCAGTAGAAGTAAGAGTTATTGGTGATATATTGCTGGTTTTGTTTCTGTTTTTTAGGATGGATGCTACTCCAATTTTCCAGTCAGTGAGTATTACTCCTGTCTTCAGTGACTGTTTGAAGAGTTTTTTATTAATATTTTATGAATGACATCTTTTGTTTCCTTTAGGATAGTTAGTAGAAAACTAGAGCCCTAGAAAGTTGCTTTACAGTATATTAACTGCTTCTTGTACCTTTAATATGCTTGTCATGTCTGTTGTATTTTTATTATGCTTATACTGTTTAATATCAAACTTTGTCTCTGCTTAGATACAGAATATTGTCAGTTTCATCCTTCATAAAACTAATATTTAATCTCGAGATTTTGTCAGTGTTTTCTTTTTTGGAAGCCTAACTGCAGAGTGGAAATCACCATTAAGTGGACCCAGGTGTTAAGATCGACCTGTTATAAAACATGAACAATAAAATAATATTTTCTTCCATTTCTTTCGATTTTCTCTTATTTGTTATCATTTAACTATGAATATATATATATACAAAATCTATACATTTATATTTAATTTTCTGCTTTAATTCTTCTTTGAAGAGATTTTTAAAAATGAGTGAGCACACTGTAGAATGCACTGTGAAACGACCAGTGGCCCTGCAGATGGGAGATGTGAAGACCGACATGTCCAGGCCAGGGATCTTTGTTATAGACGTCACATTTCCACAGGGTCAGACTGTCAATGTAAGTTGAAGAAATTAAGCATTTGATGCAGGGATGGAAGCTGTGATTGTTTGGCGCCTTTCACTTTTTCAACCAAGTGACCTGGCTTTAGTAATAATACTGGCCCAGTTGGTCAAAGGCAGCACTTAATTTAGATTAAAAGAAACTGTAAATAGAATAAGATCCTAGAGAATCAGATGCATTCAGTTGGCATTTAATGGTCTTGGCTGAACTTGATGAGAATTTGATGTGATATAAAAAGCCTTTGAGGTAAAGGCATAGCCACATTGTAGTCCTTTGAACTTAGACATGGTACCAGTAGCTGAGACCTATTGTCACAAGTTCAGTCAGACCATGGCAAGAATTGTTTATGAACCAGTGTTAACCTAAGTCTAAAATCCATGCAAAAGGCTTAAAGTCTGTTTGACAAAATGGTTGTATGTGAGGTGTTTTAGTGCTTTAGTGCTCTTTGTGCAACCCACAGTATAGCTGAAGTTTCATTCATTTCATACTGTATCTCCCAATTCAGATGTACAGTACTTGCTGTCTCATTGTCAGTACTCTTTTGTAGATTTTATGGTCTAAGGAAGAATCAGCCTACTGCAGTTTTAACCAATCATTAAATAAAACACAGAAGCATTTAAAAATTTCAAAATACATTAATAAAACATTATTGTACTTCAGTTGCAGTTGTAGGCTTACAGTTTCAGGGTGAAAGTCTTCTGAGGAGTTAAGAATTTATTATCAAAATTCCATTAAGGCTTATTTGTGAATAAAACATGCTGTATGCCCAAACTGAGAAATTATGATCATCCTTTGGTTTAATGTTGGTCTTTTACATGCAAGGCTCTGGAATATGACCTGAAGGATATTGGAAATTGTATTGCATGTGCTTTTGCTTGAAAATGTACTGTAGTTGTACCTGCCTGCTACAGCATAACTTCTTACCACCTGCTTTTTATTTCTATACATTTTGATTTGCTTACAGCATCATATTTATTTATTATGATGGTGAAAATGAATATTCCCCAACATTATATTTTTACATTTTTTGTATGAATAACCAATGATTCAAAGTGTGCAAATACAAATGTGGTATGATCCGTTTCCTTCAAAACTCAACAGAAGGCCTAGGATTTAAGATTGGGTTTACCCCATCCAGGTCAGACATTCCATGAGTGCTTGAAAACACCACAACACATGTAATAACTGCCAGGTTTTGAAGATGCAGTGTTCAGTTCAGACATATAGTTTAACTCTAACGTACACTCAGTAGCCTCTGGTTCTTTTTATAGAATGTTGTACCAGATATCCTCTTTGTACCCAGTGGAAGCATGAAGCACGCTATTAACTAAAAATATAAATAGAATGTACACCAGACCTGCTCTTGTTTTTCAATGATATTTTTTTTTATTTCTCAGATACAAGAAATTTCTTTTAAGAACTATTACACTGCCTTTCTAACGGTGCGCCTCCAGAGACAGGACCCTGAATCTCCAGAGAATGCTCTGAAGTGGATTACTGGCCTGAAAGACTGCTGCCTTATGCCCAATCCACACACTGAGAGAGGATCCCAGGATTACTTCTCTATCTATAGACAGCAGGTGAGTCCAGGAAAAACACAGCTTTCACCAAGTTATTTCTAATAAGACAAAACCCACTACTTACTATACATTTAGTGTATCAATTGAAGAACAATACATTTGCAGTCTGTGTTGATATCTTGCATCTGAGCTTATGTATTATATGCTAATATGACTCATTATAGCTGTCTTAAGTATTGTATATATCCAGCAATGGTTTGAATTGTGTGAGAACTACTGCACTCAACCTGTTTTTCACTTATTCTTTTTGGGATAATCTACTTAATAGGATACCTTGACAGCTAAGACTAGTCTACTTGTTCTTTCACCATAACTATAAATTCTAAATTCATCAAAAGTAATACGGTCTGTATTTACAGTTGAATGTCCCAGAGGTATATTGAATTGCTTTCAGGGTTGTACAGTAGAACTGGTCACCAGATTGGCCTCAGTGTAATTCTCAAGTCAGCTGAAACACGTTTATTTTTAAGCAGACCTGAATTAACCCTTGCCAATCTTATCACAAAACTGAACATTTGAACTAATGGTTGCTGTTAAAAACACATTTAGTTGAATCTCGTTGCATCCATTCAGATCACTTGGTTGTTTTCTAGGGATTTTGTTTCTAAAGCTTTCAGTAATTTGATGTATTTCACACATTATTAGTCAAACTTCACCCAAAAAGCACATTGGTGACTTTTAAAAATTGTCTTAAAAATTATACTTATCATAATTATAATTATACTACAATTTTTTCTTTAGAATGTTAATTTTCTGTAGCATTTTGGTACAGCTACCACAGATGAACCTATATTCTTCATACATTTAGCAGAGCGGTAAGTTTATTCCCGCTTTTCACCACAGAAATCAGCACAATTAGACAGCAAGGTTTAGCTGAAGTCTTTCAAGATGCTAAGAGTTCCTTAATTAAAAAGTTTAAACAATAATTATGTAACAGATTGTATTTTCCTGTTTTTTTAAAACAAGTGAAATTTTGATAATTTACATATGATATTTAGATATTTCAAAAATATATCAAAAGGTCTTTCAGCTCCTTGCTGGATTCCTGAAAGCTTGTAGTGATGCCAGTAAGAGATGTGCCACTTCATATCTATCAGTAACTTTCCTGAATTGCACTTTGGGGCTTGTAGCGTAAAAAAAGATAAATTACTTTCACTAAGGACCTAAGATATTCCATAAAGGTGAGTCATAACTAGATATTGCAAAGTGAGTGGAATATAATAAAAAAGTACTTATTCCAACTTGAAAAAAATTATGCTGTTTTTTAAACCCTAACCCTTTTGCATAGAAGTGGTATTTGCATAACTGTATTGTTTTAAGAACTCTTATGTTATGCAATGCAATTTTAAGGCACTCCTGGTTTAAAGTAATCTGTTTATAAACTGCAATCATGCAGCTTGTTGGCAGTCCTTTTCTAAAGCAACATTGCATACAGAATTTGATGATGGTGCTGTCAGCTTATCATTAGGATGCACAGTTCCCATGCTTTTTGCGTACTTAAATTAGTGCTTCTCATTTCTCTTCCCTTTTGAAAGGAATTGGCCTGTCATGATATCAGCACCTATTTCTGGGTAAATTTGTGTATCCATCACTCCAACCGACAACATTTGATCGAGGTGGATCTGATTCATGACAACAAAATACAGCTTTAGACAATTAATATAACATACTATGCTGCTTCACTTTTGGCACTGTGTTGTCATAACATGCCTTTTTAAAATATTCTTTAGAGTGGTGGACGATGTTGTTGACCATAGTCTATATGGAATAGAAACAGGCAGGCTACAGTATATATACTGTATATACACAGTATATATGTTCATTATATGCTTAGAAACATTTTGGAATTGTGCATTGTCAACTAATTACAGATATTTTTTTTTTTCTTAAAAAGGTACAAAAAGCTTTGGTGTCAAGGTTAGAGCAAAAACTCCATTTGTCAAGGGCATTGTCAGAATAGGTTTTTGCATCAGCCCATCACTGAGCATGCAGCATTCACATTAACTTGGTAAAATAAATAAATGGAAGTCTGAGCTCCTGAATATTGGTAATGTCAAGTCATATCTGAAGAAAATCTTGATGTGACAACAGAAACACAGACTGGATGTTAGCAATGATAAATATTTGATAGTATTCAAAACCAGCAATGGCCTCATGTTGTCTGGCCTAAATACCGTTAGTGCCTTGTCTCTCAGTGACCTGAGAAAAAAACATTCTTCATTTAGGTAGGACCCTTCAAGGGCATGGCATGCATTAAGGTTATTTGCTGGTTCTTACCAACAGATTGGTGATAATTTTCCATAGTCGATTGACTATATTATACTGTGAATCAGGTGGGTAGCTGCGTCAGCATGCGTAGGCTGCAAAGGAACAAGTAATAGGTTTATTCCATGCTGAAAAAAAGAAGAAAGAGAACACAACGTTTCGGCCGTGGAGCCTTCTTCAGGTGTGAAGGCTGAACACCTGAAGAAGGCTCCACGGCCGAAACGTTGTGTTCTCTTTCTTCTTTTTTTCAGCATGGAATAAACCTATTACTTGTTCCTTATACTGTGAATGTTGTTGTTATTATTTGTAGTCTCAATTTAAAAGCACTGTTATTACTGTAGTTTGGTGTCAGTTTTCTTAAAATAATTGCAATGATATACTGGAAATTCTTTAAATCATGGTAGTTAAATGCATCCGTTAAAAATTAAAGTTATAATATAAAAACAACAATTTATTAAGTAGGGTGGGATATTTTAAGTTGCTAAATTAAGTTCAGTTTAGGTGTCACGTTAGTTCTTCTGAGGAAGATACTGTATATTTTTCAGACTAAACCCAAACACATTTTACAATGAATGTGTAAACTATGGTAATACAGAGCTATAATACTTGTGCTCAACTATCCTTTGTTTGCAGATGCTTATTGAACCGGATGATGTGACCTCAGTGCGTCTCATCTTGAGGCAGCCCTCTTCATCATGGCTAACCTTCACTCTGGAAGAAATTAAAATCTTTGAATGTGTAAACGAGGTAGGTGACCTGGACACATTTAATTCTTACATACAGTACAAATGCCAGAAGTGTTACAGTTGCACAAAAAATGTTATAAATATATATCATCTGTGTTCAGATTTTAAATTATGAATGCTAGACTGGCTCAAAAAGTAGATGTTATTTGCTAATAATGCACATATAAATGTAATTCTAAAAAATAACGTTGACTGATACAAAATTGAAAAAATACATTGCACACATAAAAACAATATTGAGTCAACTAAATTCTCAAGTGCAGTATCCCACCATAAATCTTGAAGATATAGATGTATATTTTAGAGATAAATAATTGATATGAAAAAGCTGCAGTATATTTTGCAGCAACCCAAATACCTTTGCATAACATTATTTGAGATTCACTTAGCATTAATTAAATTCTGCAAATGTGACTTTAGGAATGAAGTCCTTATTATCATTTGAATGTTTACCACACTTTATAATGGCTTATTTCGACAAATGTATAACTTCAATTTTACCTGTATTTGCCTGTGATTTATCATAGCATAATTGTTTTTAATCTTTTTTACAAAGGTTTGCGAATTTGTTCATTGTGGTTTGGGCTACTTCTCTTTCACATTTAAAAATGTATTAGGTATATCACAGTAAATGACCTTTATTACAGTTGGTCTTAAAAAGGTCACAAAAATCAATCCAAAGACATATGGTACTAGTAGGTTAATTCACTTTTGGGAAAAATTGTCCCCTATGTGAGGGTGTGTGTTTGTGTGTGTGCCCTCCGATGTTCAGTAGGCACCTCATCCATGGTGTCCCCCATACTAGATAAAGCCATTAGAAAATGGATGATACTGATGAGTTTTTGGCAGAGCATGATGTTCCAGTTGACAGCCAAGTTCAATCCAAAGGTGTTAATTCAGTGCTAATTTGGTGCTGTATGAAGTGACAACACTGGCCGGTGATGCTGCACACAGGAGCATGTGTGTAGTATTTAATAAAGGTGTGTGAAAATGGATGTCATTTACAAAAAGTGACTATGACTGGAGTTGGAACAATGCCATTAACCTAGCGACTGACTGCTAAGAGGACCACCCAGTGCTGCCTGTCTGTTGGAAACAGTTTTGCAAGCCTTATGACAAGAGATGAATTCTACACACTCAGATGCCACAGCCTGGCATGTACCTGTAGTTTTCCTACACCAAACTTTTGTTTCTTTGTCAGCCTGGACACACCAGCATAATTACATTTTGCATAATGAATTCTGTACCCTAATATACAGTATGCAAATATACTATATACAGTATACTGTACACTTGCTGTTTCTATGGGGGAGGATAATGTTGAAAACTATGTATTCTAAACATTGTGGAAATCATTAATTGTGCGTTTACTGTATGTAAGAATTGTATTTTTAAATTGATTAATAAATGTCAAAACTTTATTTTAGTATTGAAATAATATTGAAAAAATACAGCCAAGCTCATCATAACTACAGCATGCCTTTATTGAAGGAAAAACAATCAATTATCAAGGTTTAAATGATTGTTTTTGGTTTATTTTTCACTGGATACTAATAGAAATAATTTATTTTTTAACAGGATTCAAAAAATAACTTTCCATCATGGTTTTCAAACCTTTCACCTGTTGACCAATCTCCAGATTTGCAAGAAGTAAGTTCTTTACAATTTATAGTAGTAATGTGTATACATTTTATATTTCACATACCTGTATTATATATACAGTATATATCTTTTCCACTTTGTGTAAGAGTGCTTTGTTAAAGAATCCAGCCATGTGTATTCCATGTTATCTGAGCACTATTTAAAGTTTCTCAGTTAAAGTTTCAAATTTAACAATAATTTGAAGTATAACATTAAGATTTTTTTTTCTTGTTTGAAAATAAAATACTTGTAAAATCAATAAAATAGCAGTAAATGCTTTTATCCCTTCACAAATTTCAGTGTTTAAAGAACTGAAGCTTCCTCAGTATTTGGGTTTTGAGAAGAGACAATAAATATAAAAGATCTCCAATTTAAACTGGGTCATTAGCCAGGTCCTGAATTCACTTCTGATGGATTATCCTGTAACACTTCTTAATTAAGTAATAATTAAGTTTAAATTGGTATTTTATGTTTATCCTTGGCTCTCAGGTACTGCAGTCAGAACAAATCAAGTCTAAGTGCTGTAAATGTTCTACATTCACCCATCATAAAATTCTTAAATAGAGGACATTTATCCCAAAGTTTTGCATTTTTATTTCACTGTTACCCTTAATGTCTTTTTTGCTAAATGTCATAGTTTGGCTTGAAAAAATAGGCATGCACCATTATAATGTTCACATTAAATTGGTTATCCTGATAGTTATATTATTCTATAATGTGCAGTTTTATTGCCTTCTTTTTTTTCTAACACTACTATGGAAATAGGTGGCCTTGACAAGCACATCTAAATAACACAAACTAAAAAAAAAGTCAAATTTCAAGTTGTCTTGAATTTGTTTGTAGACTACTGTACCATAAAAAACTTTCCAGTAAACATAAACTCTAACACTGGGAGATTCTCAATGTCTGTGCTGCTATAAATGTTCTAAATTTCATGCATATAGTAGGTTTATAAGAAAGCATAAAGATAAACCATGCAATTTCAATGGCTCATGTGAAAAAGTTTCAAAATAATGGATACAAACAAGAGGCTACATATCCAAGCTGATGGTGCTATCTTCATCATGCTTGAATGTTAATTAATGGTGTTCTTACAAATGGGAATGCCTTCACTGTTGTTTGTGATCCATTATGTAGCCTGGCACATAGAAAATTAATTTGTTCATATATTGTATAGCTCTCGCAGATAGTCCTAGAAAATAGATCATGTGCAATGTTTGTGATCTTTATTTTATTATTTTTAATCATTTACTGTTGATAATAATAGAATATTCATTACTGTGCATAAGCCCACCCATTTATAGGTTAGACTTAAAATAAATTTGTACGCTTAAATAACAGTTTATTATAGCGGTGTAACACAAGAAGATAAATATACCTTGAATTTAAGACAGACAGTAGATTGTATTATTTGTAATGTCTTAATGTTGGCACAGTGGAGTTTTTGATAATACATTCTCTTAATATTAATCCTAGTGAAGAATTCAATAAATCACAAATAGAAACAGGCAATTTCCCAGACATTAAACTCAGCAGGCTATGGTAATAGTCTGTCTGCAGATGGCACTGAACAACTCATTCCTCTTAATAGATGGAATAAAATCAATAAGATCTTAAATCTCTTAACATGCAAAAGTTCAAATCTGTCTCTTGAAACATTTTTTCTATTATTTCCATATATGGTTGTATTGTATAACAGGTACATTCTTGCTGCATCTAATTCTGAAATCTATAACTTTGTTAACTTAACATTCCTTCCTACATAAGTTCCTGATTTCAGAGTAGATCTATTATTTTGATGCCACCTCTTGTAGAATCAAAGCCCTCTGAGCACTGTAAAAATGTAGGCCTTATTCATAGATATATATAGACTTGATGTGTTTTTTGCTTTCTATTTTTCTTATAGTATATTTCTTAATAGAATTCTGCATGGATATAATAATCACATTTAAAACATTTTCAGGGATACAGTAGTGGGGCTGGTCTTGTTGTAGTATTTGTACAGCAGCTTTGTTTCTGTCTATGTAACTTTCATTGATCTTAGTCAGGTGTTAGCTTGTAGCTGAGGTTTCATACAGTAGGAGCCTTGTCTAAGCATCTCAAATGAATTAAATAATAGATTACTTGTGAACCACATGGTGTTTATTACACTGCTAATCTGAAATATAAATATCCAAATCTGGTTATCTTTGAAATTTCGATAATGGGCAAGTAAATCCATTCTAATTGGACAACCTGCTTAGAGAAGCTCACTTTGGCACTTGGTATTATTATTGCAGGGTTACCAGACAATATTTTGGCTGGCCTTGTACTTTATGTCCCTTGCACAGGATGCAAAACATTGCCAGACACTTCTTGTGCAGCTCTAATGCGAGGGAAATAAATATGTGTGCTGTATATATAAAAAGGCCAATCTCATTACAGAACAAAATGAATTATGCTTCTGAAGAAGCAATTAGTTCAAGACATTTTTTTAAAGTCTGTTCTCAAATTCCACTACAAGATCCACCTGCAGGAATTGTAAGGTTTACTTAAGTAACACCATCAGGAAATCACACATTGCAGTAATACACCAGTCTTGGCCAGGGCCCCACAAATGATGTTGCATTGGCACAGTATCCTAGGATTTAATTGTTTGAAAGCAAAATGTCTCTCACTGAAGCTGAAAATAATCTGAAACACTGCAGTGGATATTTGCAGTTTAATGAAAACTATTAATATTGAAAAATTGACAGTGGTGAAAGGAAAGCTGTACAGAATTCACAGTTGGATGACAGTGCCCAAATTGCTATTGATCAGTTCCAAGTTTCTGACAGTGTTCATAACCGTACCAAAGAGAGTGTAAGGGACAACTGGGGAGTCTTTCTCAGATTTTCTTCATAAGCACCTCCTGTGAGCCTGATGTGAAAGAATGAGGATAGAACAAGTGTTACCATTAGATCCTCTAAAATCCAAATTAACCTTGAGCTGAATATGTAAATTTATAAAACCAATTAAGGCTTTTTTGGATACATTTACCTTGATGCACCTTCATTTTAGAATTATTAAAATAGGAAAATTATTTTTATTGTAATATGTTGTAAAGGGTTGAAATCACTGCTATTTGGTAAATAGCTATATGGAAATGTGAAACAAAGAACATTTTTGATCTCTTCCTGGGCCTATCTGGTACCTAGTGTTTTACATTATGTTCAAAGAAACACAGATAAGAAATGTTGCACTGCAGCATTGGATGTGGATAATTGTTAATGTATTTTGAATGGGCAATATACTGATTAACAATTTAGTGCAATTCTCCCAATGAAGTAAAAGAAGAATGCTGTAAGGGCAGGTGTTGCCAGTTGTTCTTATCTGAATGTTATGTACTGTACAGTGCTGTTTATTGTAGTTCTTTAAATGTTACTATAAAATCCATCTTTAATCAAAATTAGTCCATACATTTCTAAAAAAAGGGGTTTACATCCACAGTTTCTAGATGAATTGATGCATGTAATAGAAAAAGAAATAGGTAAATAAGAATTAGTGCACAGGTTCATTAGCTCAGTTAATGAGGAACTGTAAGTATAACCAAGTGCTAAAGTAATAGGTTACCAAGGTAACTAATCAAAGAGCCAATCACCACAAAAAAAAGTTTGTGAGGCCCTCTACTATATAAAGGTAAGAAACCTAGTTAACTTGTTCTTATCCATACAGATTAGTTTAACACACCATGCCACAATCTAAAGAGACCTCAGACTACCTCTGGACAGTAAGTGGTCATCAGTCTAGAGAGAGATATAAAACCATAGTAAAACATTTTGGAATTCATCAGTCTACTGTAAGACAAAGAGTATACAAGACAGTTTAAGACCGTGGTGGCTCTATCTAGATGTAGATGTCCTTCAAAATTATTCTCACAGAGCAACAAGAAAACTCATACATGATGTCCAAAAAAAAAAACAGAACCACATCCAAGAATCTCCAGGCCTCTCTTGCTGCATTTGATGTCTATGTTCTTACCTCAACAATATAACACAATCTGAATAACAGTTGCATTCATGGAAGGGTTAGCCAGGAGAAAACCTTTGCTCCCATTAAAGATCCTATATAGTATAGGAAATGTTTGGTTGCTGATGAAGCTGCTAAAGGATGCAAAACCACTTATTGTATTACATTGCACACGGGGGTCATTGACTTTCTGTTAAATAAATAGGTTTTATTTAATAAATAAAAAATAAATATTGTGTTATTGTGTCCAATATTTGGGTTATCTTCATTAAATATTGCATTTCAGATAAAAGATATATGAAAGATGAAGGGGTGCGTTTACTTTCCAGCACAACTGTATAGCCCACATGACCCGAGCACTACAAAAATGGGCTTTGAACATTTGTATGGAAGACAAGAGACAGAAAAAGTACACATTTAAGTACACATATAAAATATGATTAAAGCTAAGTGAATTTACAATCATCTTGTTTAAAGTTCAGGAGAAGGAGACTCTGAAAAGTTTCTTGCCAGCAAAACATGGTTTGATAACATTAAAAAGAGTTACAGTACACATAAATGCGAAATTAGCAGCATCCAAGTTTCCTGCTGAACTGAAGAAGCTGATTGATGAAAAGGGCTATTTGAAAGGGCTTCAACCCTGTAGGAACTGGGTTTTTTTTGGAGGCGTATGTCTAGTCAGTAAGAATATTAAAAAGAAATCTTTATTCTAACATTTTTTACCATTTATTTTTAGGATATGACATAGATAGTGTGTTGTTGTTTTGTTGATATTTATTGCATTTCACTTTATTCTGGTGTATTTGTGTTAACTTAATGGAGTTAAGTTAATCATTTGTGACTTCAGTTCCCCTAACCCTATTTTTCCCGGCAGTCTTATGTTTAACATCCAAGAATCTTTCTGCTGTTTTCAAGAAAAGTGGGCAAAGTATTGCTGTATAGCATGTACAGTACTACATTTAGTGCAGAGCTGTCTTATGATGTTACATTGGAGGCCTGGATACTCTAATGTCAGAGTGCCCTCTGCTGCTTGTGTATACATCAAATTCTTCTAAAATAATAACATCTGTTATCCCCTTAACACTTTGACGACTGTTCCACCATTAGATCACTTTCCTGTTATGTTTTAGTTATAATTTAATTATTCCCTATGACTTTAATGGAAATTCAGAATAATTTAATTAAGAGTTCAACCAATGATATGCTCATATCATTTGTAGTGAAGTATTTAAGATGTTTTGTTCTGGATCCTTGGTTTGGTGGATAACTACAGGTAGAATTGTTGTTCCAAGACAATTATAAATAACTTTTGATCTGTCTCATAAAAAATAAGTTAATATTATGCAGAGTCTTGAATCCAATTTGTAGAATGGACACAGAGAGTCATGTTGAACTACTTTGCATGTAACTATAAATAATTATTCCAGAATTTATTCAATTTAATGTTAAGTCACTCCATATACAGTATGCATTAACCCCTTATGCATTGAGCATACTGTATATAATTAAGTACTATTTGATTCAAAAGCATCCATTGTGTGATCTTAAATAAGCAAAGAATAGCTTTAACAGTTTAGTTATTTCTTTATTTGATAAAATACATGTATTAATCATTGTATCCAGACACTGTATGTTGTATATGATATGATATGATCTACATTATTTGTGGATTGTTAGTATGTTATATACAATGAACACAATTAATGTGTATTATTTCTTTTTGTTATCAAGGGAATACCTGATCCCAAAAAAGTGTCATCCAGTATCCAGCAAATGTGGGCCTTAACAGAAGTAATGCAGACCAATCAGACCGCTGCACGCATAGGCCGCTTTGATGTGAGTTAATTAAAGATGTTTACCATCTTCCCATTTTATTTACTGTATGTATTTTGAACCTGTAGCTGCTAAACTGCTAAGCTAATACACCATCTTACGTTGGTAAATGTGCTTTTCATCATACTATATAGAAGAGAACATCATGATGCTAAATAATGGTCTTACCTCTTTAATTTTGCTTCTCCAACATCATTTACATAATTTAAGTGCACATTTTGGGTTTATTTTGTTGAATCATTCTGACTAGTACAGTACCTTGGGACAGAATGCAAAGCAATGATGAATGTACAGAATAGGAGAGGTGCAATTTAAATTTTAATTTAAATGTTTATACAAATGGGTTATATATGATGGTTAAAAGAATTAGTATACTGTTTATGTGTTTTTAAAACTGGTTTTGCCTTTTTGTTTTTTTTCTTAAAGGTGGATGGCTGCTATGAGATCAACCTGCTTTCATACACATAACTTGGAAATTCATGAAAGAGAACAATTTGCAAACACAGAAGCTGTATCCTGTGGTTAAAACTGCCCTAGAGGGGGAGAGTTTGATGGATTCTAATTCTGCTTTTTGTATACTGTATACTGTATAAAGTCAAAGTTAGCTTGCTCTTAAAACAACACCATTATCTCCTATTGCTTATATACTATATGTAAAAAGGTAGAATTAGAAGTCCCTTTAGACAGTTCTGCTTCGCTCTACATTGTGATATGGCAAGAGCTATTAATATTCATTCTCTTAATTCATATATTTGTAGTGTTTCTCCTTCAGTTAGACATTTGCTAATTGAATGTTTTGTCGCATTTGCATTGTGGAACTTGCATATCAACAGAAATGCTTGCTCACCAGGCAGGGCTTAAATTGTGAGTCCTAGAGTAATTGGATGTCTTAAATTGTGGTTTCGCTTACTAGATTTTTTGTTCCTTTGACTGAATGTTAATGTTAAAAATGTAAAAATAAATTATTCCTTCATAGAGATGTATGCAAGAAGTAAATAAATTAAATCTGCTGGCTGTTTTATCAGATACATTGTCTGTAAAATGCTTTTTCCGGCAAAATAATTGCTCCTAGAAATAGATGTAAAGATACCAATAGGATACTGAAAAGGTCATGAGGCAATGTAGGCTGTAAACAGTGGACCGGGAAGGAGCATGTTCATTTCCATATTATGCCATATAATCAGCTCATGGGGGAGCCCTCCTTTATTCTGTGGTACAGTTGTTCTTTAAGGTAAGGTTATGGCTTGGGGGCAGAAAGGGGTGGAAGGCAGTAATAGTGCTGGCAAAGTACATACTGTACATTTTATTTCAACTGTTCGACTTCAGGCTTCCTGTTTTTTGCAGTTGTGACTTATTTTCATGCACATATCAAGCAGTATGGATTTCAGCAAATAGAACGTGTGCTTCAACCCTTTTGATATTAGTATGATCAAATTAGAAGAGTACAAAATGTTTTATCTTTGTGATTCAACAGTTGGCATTGTTGTAACCTTTTTTTCCAATTACTGAATTGAAATTCAATTCAATTAATTTCAATAATTACTTATATTTGAAGAAGGGGGCACAGGAAAGCACACTATAAATTAGATGCAGTCATTCAATTTCAAAGTAATTCTTGGAGTCAAAAGTTTGCCAAAGGAATGGAAACTTTTATTGTGGAAGTATGCCAGAAAACAGATGTAGAAAGTGAAATATGCTGTGTACCATCTGGCCTTGGGACCTAGGTAAATAACATATAGGAAAGCAGTCTTAATACTATGTTATTTATTTGTAGCTATTATTTCAGGTGCTGCATCAATGTATGCTGTACAGTTATGTTCCTGAAAACCATTTGGCAGTCTGACCACAACCAGTACCAGTAAGAAAATATAGGTGTAATTAATAAAATATATAATGTAATTACTAATTTCACATTCACAAAAGAAAAAGGTAATACAAAGCTTTCTGACCCGGGCATCATGGAGCAGAGGCAAACACCAAAATACAGAGGCAAGGGCACTAAGGGTTATACCAGACAAGGTTATGGTAATAATTATGAGAAATTTAGATTAGAAGAGATAAGTAACTGAAAGAGATTTCAGTAACTGAAATTGTGCCAGCTGGAATCTCAGAATCAGGAATGCAGACCAAACAACATTAAAAAATTGTGGGTATGTGTCAAGCCAAGACTGTTTCAATTAAACAAAACTATGAAGTTGGATTTGGTCACACGTAAGCTGTTTGACAATCTCAGTTCTTAACACTACTGTACTCGGTTTTGATTATTTAGATATCACAATATCAGTGACAAACTTGCACTTACAAGAATTGAAATGTTCAAAGCTACATTTAGACTACTTTTTTTGTTGTTTGCTGTTTTAATGCTGTTTGCATTAAAAATGATACAATACTGCCATCTAGACAAAACAATGTAATTTAACTAGTTAGAAAATCAGATCCTGAGTTACAGTATGTTTTAACTGTCATCACAATCACAATTTTACTGAGCAGCTCTAATCCTTGAGGTCAGTAGCGTTGTCTACTTTTAATTTCACTTCTAATCTTAATTACATAATATGACCAATTATTTGAATATATTTTTAAATTTTAATCAGATGGTAATTGAAACGTACCCCCAAACCTTCAGAGCTCTAGCCTTTGAGGCTTGGAATTGCCCATACATGTTCTAGAGAATGTAATCATCTTCGTTACAATCATCCTCATTAAAGAGAAAATTGTAGTATGAACTCAGATCACACAGAGGTGTGTATGGCCATGCACTATAATATTAATTTATACAATATTAATCATAAGGACTGTTTAGCAAGGTGCATTAACCTTTTCATTTTATTCTCTTAGTATTACTAAAAAAATCTAGAAGTTAACAAAGCACCCTTTGCTTTGTTACCCTGCTTCTCTGTCTTGTCACGTAATTATATTGAAGAGGAGAGCCAGATATTTATAAAAGTAGGACACTCGTTTTTTTTTCTTTTATATCAGCAAGGCAGTTGAACTATTTTTACTATACATGGTCTCATGAAACTGTAATATTGGTATCTGGTAAGAGCATACATTCTGTTGTTTCTGTTTGGGTTCTATTTATCAAGCTGCTTCTTTATGGGAATATCTGCTTAAATAATATGTACAGTATGCATGCATAGATACATTTTGGTTGCTTTTCTGTCCAGAAGTGTTTTAGCTTATGTACGCAGCCGTCATCTAGACAAATTGTTAAATTTGTTAGGACTAACAAAAGGTCAGTTCCCTATCATTTATGCAATTCTTTGGTATCATGATTTTCAATGACTAGTTCTATTAAAATAAAAGCAAAATCCGGGGACACAGGCCTTGTGATAATACATCAGTCTTTAATAATGTTTCCACAGTGTTCAGTAGTAGCTGTGTATTTTATAATGGAAGTCACTTATTGTAACATCAACTTGTACTGTAAACACTAATGAAATTCAACTCGAGTCTTAATCATTCTCACACAGTAAAAGGTAGAGTTTGTTGGATGACAAAAGATCTTCCTTTTTCCAATTTAGAGCTGACAGCACTTTCTAAATGGATTAATTGTGCAGGATTTCCAAAGTGAATTTTAGTCTCAAGAGCAATGAGCAGTTCATTACAAGAAGGAAGAAGAAGAAAAAAACTATGTTCATTTACTCTGTCATAAAGCACTGTCAGACTAGTCAGAACCTATTTACAACACTAACCCTCATGGGATGAAAGAATTGGAGACAACTTTAGCATATTAAAAAGATTTGTGTAATGTTAAAATAAAGCACTCCAGGTTACCATAGAGAAATTACCAGTGGGAGATTCCTGAGCACAGCATTATCCATTCTGTTGTGTATTCCTTCATCATTGTGGACTTCCATTAAAATTCTTGTTTCATATTATAGGACTTGAGGTAAGTACAACTGATCAGTGCCTGCAGTGACAGCACTTCTTCTCAGATCACATGCTGAGATGCAAAGGAATACATCAATGAAATATAGTCCTGAAGGAAGCTGTTTGAATGGCCATGGTCAGTTTTCAAATATAAAAACCTGAGAGAATTCTTCTCTTATAATTATTGAATGTTAATTGATCATTGGTTAATGCCCTGGACTAAACTTACCCCCTTTCCAGAACTGCCTGAAACAGACAAATTCCCCCTAAAATATTAAAGCCTTCTGCTATGTTGTACATGGGATATATGAAATATGTCTATGGAGGGTGTTATTTTCAAATACAAAGGCACTGTACATAATTTGGTTTCTATTACTGTGAGAGAACCATGAACAAACAACTAAGACTTAAAGGCAGGAATGATTTTATTTATATCATATGATGCTGTTTGATCTTCATTTTTTGTATGTCAGCTACACCTATGCAAATAGTGAAAAAATCCTGTTGTGGATTTTTTTTTTGTGAAGTTGTGGAAGTGAAGAAATTAAAGGAGGCAATGAGCAAGTGTTGAACATTTAACAGGTTTAATGCTTCATTTTATTGTCAAATAAGGCTGGTGCTGTTTTTAAGCTATTTTCCATCTAATTTGTTATGTTATGTTAGATGGTAGTGCCTTTTCTGTTATGAATTTAAGAGTGGCTGCTTGAATGGGCACCTTGCATAAAATACCACTAGAGGGCAATGTTTCCTCATCCTTTCTGAAATACATTCTGCTTTTAACAACTTTTCCATTCAAGGGGCTCTGGAGAATCAGTTTATCTACTGATTTCTGAGTATTCTGAAGTTCTCTGTATTGCGTTAATTTATCTGCAGGTTGAATGTACCTTATAATAGTTGTAAACCTACATTTTGCTTATATAAGTAATTTTATCATTTTTTAACTCACTGTACTGTAATTGAAATCAACTCTTAAACAAATAAGATCAAATTAAATCAGATGTTTATATGATGCAAATATGATGGCCTATAGTCTTAGTGGCCTCATAGGTGTGTGCTGAAGCACGGAGGAGAAACGAATCAGATTATTAGTGGCATAATAGTTGGAAGTAGAATAAGCACCACACCTCTGCGGCTAAACATTCTCCTGAATTTGTTTTCTTGCAGTGCATGCTCTAGTAGTGAAAACAGTTCATTAGCAGTTCATTACGTATGATAGGCATACTAAAGTAACTCGAGAAGTGTTTTATAAGGTGTGCTTGATTGAGAGTCCAGCTTCTTGTTTCTGATTAAAGTCCAGATTTCAAAGCCCCTTAGACTAAAAGTACATTGCCCAGAATCCACAGTTATACGGGTCAATGTATGTTGAGTCATTACACCAAAAGTGTTAAGTGCAGCTTAAGTACCTGTGTTTGTAGTGAGTCCCACCAACCAAGGAAACCATGTTTTTGCCAGTGTAGGAAGCCAGAATATGAGTTATCATTTAATTTGCTTGGATCTATGTTTTCCTTATAAGGGTAGGCCTATAATGTGCCTATGATCATATTTGCACCAAAAGCTTAATTTTTAGAAATACTACAACTTTGCTGTATTGACCATTAAGTTTTCAATGAAAAAAAAATGTCTGCAGTTTCAGAGTATTTTTGTAATATAGATTTTTTTAATTATTTGACTAAAAAAATAAAAACTTTCAACTGGTATGACAGATCTGCTACAACTAATATATGGAGTCATTCACATTCATACATATTTAATAAAATAATGAGCAGCTGGCAAATGTTAAGAATTCTTAAAGACTTTTCCATTGTAAGATAACCTTAAAATTACATGTTAAAAAAGTGGAAGAACTCTTCTTCAGACCTTAGTTATAAAACATGATACATTTTAATAATGTTAAGCCTTGAATGGCATTACTTTTGTTTTCAAATTGTATTCTAAGTCAGTAAGATATGCTTTTTTTAATTTACAGTTCCTTAAGATAATTCTTTTTTATTTATATTTAGGTGGGATAATTTCCAGCTGCTCTTGACATTTTAGTAGGATTTACTGCAAATGTCTTCAGTGCTGTTGATTTAACTGGTTGGGTAGCGTATTCTGAAGTAATCTGCCAAATTTAGTGTAGAAATAACTCAAATGGGATTAAATTAATACCAGTG